CGACAACGTTTTACAAAATAGCAAAGGATCAGTACAGACATTACAGAGTTACAAACAGAGTGGTAGGGAATTAACAATGCTTATTGTATTACATATTGATATCTTCAATGTAGTTTCTCTATCTTCAACTATATTGATATCTTCAATGTAGTTTCTCATGAAAACACATATAGACATACAAAGCTAATCAACCAATGCCTCACTGACATCGACTCCAGTATTCTTATCTTGAGTATATTCCCAAAAGACTTAAAAACATATTCCTATGGTGATCCATTAATACCTGTGCTTCTACCAGAACAATTCACAGTGTCTAAACTCTGGGGAAATCCTAGGTGCCTATCAATAGATGTATGGAGAAAGAAAATGTGGTGTATACACACAATCTAATATTGCTCAATCATAAAGGAGGAGATTATGTCCTTTACAAAACAATAGATAAGATTTGATAATGTTAAGTGAAATAAGTCAGACACAGAAAGTTACATATTGCATGGTTTCTCTTATATGAGAAATAAAATATAAGTAAAATAAAGGAGAGACAGTAGGAAACACAAAGGCAGAATTTTTCATTTGGAGGAGAGGATCAGAAGCAGAAAGGATAGGAAATAGAGGGGATAAAAGGATAAAAAATTATCAAGATATGCTTTATATACGTACCATTTTTTCTGAAATGAATGTAACTATTACACATTACAAATGTGCATTAATATAAAAGAAAGAAATCAAGTACTTTGTGCTACAGTAGGAAGAATGATGACTTGAAGTATCTCATGAATCAGCAAAACTCCATCCCTAGCAGGCTCAAGAGTGCAAAAAAATGTCAAATTTTCATTTGTGACAAAATGGGCCTCCTACTCAAGAAAGGCCACATATGAAATTGGTTTCCTGCCATTCATTTCGCCCTGCTTATTTAACTTTGCTCATGGATTGAGAGGCCACTGCAGGCATGGTTCAGGGGAGCCTGCCTACTCCTCCAGCTCCCAACACACCAGGACATCATGCTTGTGGTACAGGTTTTGTAGGCATGAGGAATGCATGCATTGTTGGATATACTACTCTTCAAATGATGACCTGTGAGGTCAGGCATTGTACCCCTGATGGGTGGTTTCAGGAACCTGTGGGAATTAATTAAATGTAGCAGGGGATGCCACAGAAAGTTGGAGATTCCAAAAACATGGATCACCTGCTGCGGAAAGCTGCAAGGAACGAGTGGTGCCACCTCGAAGTGCCATGTTAGATGCTGTAAGCTAGGCCTGTGATGGTGAACCTTTCAGAGCTTTCAGTGATAACAAAGAGCCTGCTGCAGTACACATGCCATAGGTTCACCCCCACTGGCCTTGGGCATCAGGAAGGGATCCTCTCCCCACCCCAAGCACTCTGGAACTAATACCTCATCACCATGTTACTTGGATAATAGACCCAAATTAGAGAACGCTATGTTTAATCTGGTGGGTTTCAGATTTGCTGTGGTCTCATCCTTTTCTGGCTTATATTTTTCCTTCCAGGAAATGGGAATATTTACCCTGCACAATTGTATATTGGGAATATTTACCTTAGTTCTTGAATTCTCTACACTTTAGAGCTAAGAGGTTGAAAATTGAAAAATTCGGATTTTTAAGCAAGGCTGAAACTTTGTGGAACAAGATTAATGCATTTTTGGTTTTATGCAGGGTTTTTGTATCATGGTAGGTAGAGTTATGATCTTGTGCTTACCTGAAGATTGAATGGTTTACATAGATGTGATTGAGTGTCAAGTTGACAAGAGTTGGAAGAACTAATTTAAGCTGGAGTGCCAACCTGCTCAAGTTGAGAGCCACCTAGGAAATTAGTAAAATTCACTTCTGAGTAGTCTCTGGGTGAATTATGAGGTGTGACCTTGAGTATTACTGACGGTCCCTTGGCACTTTCCTCATTGCTGTTGTTCCTCTGCTTTGCTTACTGCCAGTTATGAAGTGAGTAGCTTTGCTCTGTGCTGCTCTTCTGGCATAACATCCTGTCTGGGAGCCAGTCAATCATGGACTGAAACCTCTGAAACTAGGAGCCAAAATACACTACTCCTCCTTTACGGCATAAATGTCATCCATTTGCTCCTAGTGATGGGAAGGTTACCAATACACACATGTTAAAAGGGACATATAAGAAATCAAGTAACAGTGCAAGTAGGTTGATAATGACCACAAAGAATAACTTATTCCTAATGAACAACTGAGTTACATCACTGCATTCCAAGGCAGATTAACAACATAGAAACAAGTAAAAAATATTTTCAATATTATTAGGAAAATTTTGAGGGGAAACAAAAGCATAACTGAATATGGCATAACTAATTATTTTTCTAATTAAAAACCACTCCTATATGAGTGTCTTTCACAGTGAATGATGTCAAAGCTTAAACGACAAAATTTAACTTTACTGTTTGTTTTGAAATTTCTTCAAAATATTTATTTCTATACATCTATTTTTTCAAGTGATTATGTGAAAAAATTAAGAATGTATAAATGAAGAAAATTATATTTTGGGGTTTTTTTTTTTTGGTTTTTTTTGCCGATACCAGAAATCGAACTCATGACCTTGCATTTGCCAGGCAGGCGCTATGCCGCTGAGCTAAATCCCCAGCCCCTAAAAAAATTATAAAAATACACAGAGTTAAGTGCAAAATTGTTTTGCATTTTAATAGAATGATAACTGAAATTTCAGGAAAGCTTTTGAAGAATAACTAATATAATTACATTTGCTCATAAGGAAATGTATTGTTCATTAAAATTTATTTCATTCAACATTATTTTATATTAATTATTAAAATAATGATATAGCATTCATAGATACTCAATAAACATTAGAAATATTTGTCTAGTAGACCCCCACAGTTATGACTTTGAATATCAGAATCTTCCTGTGTCCATTTCTAATCAAATATTTTTTCACATACTTTGTCCTTTTCTCTCAAGATCAGTTTGCAAATTCTTCACTCTCTTCTCCTTCCATTGTCCAATTACATTTACTTTTTCTCCTTCATATGGATTCAAATGTATAATCAATGATTTCTCTCTGATCAAGGAAACCATTTCTTTATCTTTTTTCAATGCTATGATCCAGTGATTAATTTTCTTAAAAATTCAAATCAGTTCAAGATACACTGTCTTTATACATACACTTGGGAATATGCTGATGGAACACAATAAATCCAATCCCTTTCAGATATGGATCAGTGTGTCAAGTGTCCAGAAGACCAGTATCCAAATATGCAGAGAAATCAGTGTCTCCCCAAAGTTATGATATTTTTGTCTCATGAAGATACCCTGGGAGCTGTTTTGGGCTGTGTGGCCATTAGCTTATCTGTCCTCACGGCTCTGATTTTAGGCCTTTTTATCCGATACCGATACACCCATTGTGAGAGCCAACAACAGGAACCTCAATTATATTCTCATTTCCTTAATCTTCTGCTTCTCTTGTTCCCTGATGTTTATTGGTCTGCCAAGCCCATTTACTTGTATTCTGAGACAAACATTCTTTGGAGTTGTATTTGCTATAGCTGTTTCTGCTGTTTTAGCAAAGACATTCATTGTGGTTGTGGCCTTCAAATCTATCAAGCCAGGAAACTCAATGCAAATGTGGATGGTAACCCGATTTTCCAATGCTGTAGTCTGCAGTTGTTCGCTCATCCAAGTATGCATCTGCACAGTCTGGCTAGGAACCTCTCCCCCTTTTCCTGACACTGACACACACTCAGAGTTTGGTCAAATCATACTTCAGTGTAACGAGGGGTCCACTGTTGCTTTCTACTGTGTTCTGGGTTATTTAGGATTTCTGGCACTTCTGGTTCTTGCTTTTCTGGCCAGGAGACTAGCAGACAGTTTCAACGAGGCCAAAATGATCACATTTAGCATGCTAGTTTTCGGCAGTGTGTGGATTTCTTTCATACCTACCTACCTGAGCACCAAAGGAAAAACCATGGTGGCTCTGGAAATTTTTGCAATCCTGTCTTCCAGTGCTGGATTATTGGGTTGTATATTTCTTCCCAAGTGTTATGTGATTCTTCTGAGATCAGATAACAATTCAAGGAAAAACTTACTTGAACCAGTTCTTTCCATCAGAAGAGGAATTAAAGTTTAAGTGATATGATTAATATGAAATGAAGGACAACATAGAAATAAAGACTCTAATGTGTGGCGTTAAATAAATGCCTTTCAGAAACAAGGACAATTGTTCTTCAAACAAGTGAACCAGTTGTGTTGAGAGGGAGCTAATTATAATCCACAAAAAGAGTCAGGTGTTCAATACCAATTCTAACTTATTTTTCAATATTTTTGGTAAGCATTTCTTCAAATCACAGCTTTCTCATATTTAAACAACATATAACAAGTCTAACCAATGACTATAATGAGATTAAATAAAATGATTTATTTGAAAACATCATGAGTGCTCAAAAATGTGCTTACCCTCTGTAACTCTATCAGTTTCTTTTGGTTTTAATAAAATACAATTTTTCAAAAAATTATGTGTGTCTCCCAAATGTGGGGGAACATTTTTGATCTAAAGTTTAAGAACCACCATTTGGTGAAGTTTTCCAGCCTTACATTACTATTGTGTCCTTGCCAAAAGTCCTCTATGCATATATATGAGTTCTGCATTCTGTTGCACTGATCAGTGTCTAGCTGCCAAAACCAGGCCTCAAATACAGTATCTACATAATATCTTAAAACCAGGTAGACT